CCTCAGAGGGATGTCATTTGTCTCTCGCATCTTGCAACTTTCGACCAAGTTCCTGCGAAATCTCCCAGTATCTGATTTCGACTTCTGGACAAGAGGGGCGAGCATGGCTCCCCCGCCCCTCCCCGGCTACGTTCCTGCGCTCTTGCTTGTTCAGCTTTGTTGATGTTAAAACATAATCTACGACCTACAACTAATACCGAGACTACAAAGCACGGCGTATCAACAACCTTTAGATTCCCGTTCTTTTATTACTTCCACTTCATTGCTTTTCGTGTGATGATTTATTGCAAGCTGGCGACTATGATTTTTTCCACTACGAAACGAATGCGTTAGATGAAGCATACATCACGCTCCAATGTGGGCAGAAGGCATTATATCGCTCCTGGAATCAGCAATTTGGCTATGACGCAACGTGCGATCCGTCGCTATATGACGCAGCAGGGCTGTCTGACATCACTAACTGCGGGAGGGCGGGGGGGGGGGGGGGCTGACGGTACCTTCAGCGTGGTGAGCTGCCCAGAGGCGGGGTCGATGCTGAAGAACGACTCCAGTGAGAAAGGGCTGGTCACCAGTGAGTACACCACCTGGGCGTTCTCGCCCTTGTCCGCGTCCGTCGCCTCCACCTGCAATACAAAGCACGGAGACACGTCAGCAGCACGCCCAGACGGATGGCGGAAATCCAAACTCAATCGTACATAAACAGTACAAGCAGAGGGCGTTGATCCCACATCATGCCGTCCTGAACAGACCGTCGCTGTACGTCCTCGCACACTGTTTTGTCTGCCTCCTGTGACACATCAGAAGTAGCTGTATTTTCCTTTATTTACATATTCGAATGACCGCAGATGTGCTGGAATGACCTCTCAACCTTCTTTTCTTCCGGCGAAGAAAGTTTATTGGCAAGTTCTGACCAACGGCGCGGAAGGAATACGGTCGCTGATTGGATCACCAGAGCAAATGACGTTTCACCGGGCAAGATTAATAGAAAATCCAACCTTATATCTTTGTTTCTGATCGAAGGAAACACTCTCAATATTATATAGGCATCCTTCCATTATATGGCGAGGCTGGAATAGAAAAAGGTCAGCAATCTCATATCCCTCAACGTAAAGAGGTTACTGTCTCTGTTAGTTCTACTCATGACTGAGAAGAGAAAAAGCAACGCGGAGAAATGAAACAAGCTCTTGTTCTTTTGCATTTTGTTTTCACATCTCTCAGCTGAGATGGCACGTCGCAATCGCCAGCCAAGTTCTTAAGGCACGCAGTGTACTGGGGCTTTCCATGCCCTTTATGTTGCAACGAGCGAATGTGGACATTTACTGACAGACTTGCCTCCAATGACTATCGTTAGACGTGGCCGCGGACGCCAACTAAGCAGAGCTTACGGACGAGGAGCGGTGACGGAGGAGGTTTAGCATTAGGTCCAAGTTAGCGTATGGACAGAAGCGAACCGCAGCGCCAGCTGCCAACGCCAGACGGATTTCCGCCGTCAGGGAATATCAGGGCAAATAGCAGCAGTGATTGAGATATTCATAGACAGGTTTTGTGGCTTGCTGAAGTCATGCATTCGACGCTTTCTTCCGCGCGTGCGAATGTTGGGCCGATTTTCATGACTTCTGTATCCATGTGTTTCCGGCCATATTCATACATCCCACGCGCACAGCCAGGATCCGTCCGAGCGTCAGGCACATTGCCAAAAGCAAGGCATAAAGTTAAAGTCAATAGCCCGACGTCATGAAGTTAGTTCTAGGCTGCTACCGCGCGGACGCGCAACACCGCACTCTTTAGGGAGAACATAATAATAAAGAGGGATACTCCCAAGCTTCCAGTAAACGCGAATTTATCTCCGAAAACAGAGGACCACACACAATGCACTGACAACTCACTCGGCGCCCACCCAAATTGTCTTGTTATGTGCTCTGGCGCGACATGGAAGTTAAGCCAGGCCACGCTTCGGCCACTTTCGCCACTACCGCAGCATCGGGGAACGGTCCTCCAATTGCCGATTCAGCCGAGCCGATTTGCACCGCACCAAACCGGGGCTGTAGCACTAGCTACGTTTTTACATCACCACATGCGTACGTACGCTCTCAATTGTGTCCTAATGAACCAATTAAGGTATTCATAGCGGCTTACCTGTCAGATGGCCAAGCTACGCGAGGCAGGTCCAGCATGATCAAGCTGCCATTAAGACACCTCTTAAGAATTTTGTCCTCGTGGGGTAGGCAAGGTGGCATCGAATGCAGAGTGACAGTTTGACTTTGAACGGTTGTGAAATCTCTACTTCCACATGCCATCAATTTCGGCCATTGAAATTTCTGGGCCTTACATGACATCTCTTCAAAATCTCACCTTTCGTGACCCTGAATTGACCTTTTCAAAGCTGATAAACATTAAGAATGTCCATGCAGCCCCTCTATGCCTCTCTGCCCAACCAGAAGAGCCGGACGGCGCCCTACTCCGGACGCCGGGGCTGACCGGAGGTCAAGGTCGGGTGACGGGCGGGAGCTGACCCAGTCACAGTCGGCGAGCAGTCGGCGCCCCGCGCCGCTGCTGGCGAACAACGGCAGATCACGCTCGCCCGACTGGGCTGTATTAACAATGAGGACACGCGCCTGGGCCACCTGGGACTCGCTTATGTTGTGCAACTGCGAGGATGTGATCCGAATGACGCAGAAATTACAATCATGCGGGGACTGATTGGCGTGGTTTCAAGGGCGAAACGTACGGAAACACAGCATTTGCAATTGTTTTCAACCCAAACGTTATTGGCTTATCTTTCCTGCTTGTTGAGGCAAGAGAGATATCAAACAAGCCTAGACTACCTTTCCATTTTCAGCTCCTCGGAACTATCTGGCCAAACAAAACCAGACGCGCCGGCTTCACAACGCAGTGAAGACTGTCCAGACTGCGTCCAAACCGGGGCCGAATATCCGACCATACCCGCGATTAATCCCCCAAATCCCGCTGCCCCAACGGACGCGAAACGCCCGTGATGCCGACAGATGGGGTGCGTCGGCGTCGCCGGTGGCGTCCGTGGCTACCGACAGCGGCGGCCTCGCGCTGGATCGATGGCGGTCGCCGTGAGGACGCGACTCAATCCTGACGGAAACGAAACCAGGCACGCGGAAACCGTCCGCCGCCTATCAGATCAGGGGCGGGGGTCAACAGCGCAGCCGAGCGCCAGGCACGTGTGGTCCTGCTGACACACCGGCCGGCACATCAGGCGGCCGAACACTGCGTCAGGAGCAGCACCGCGCGGCGGAGAGGAGGTCCTGTTTACGGAACCCTGCGTCCCGCGACGGATTTATCCTGTTTGCCCTGATTGGCGCGCGTCATTAGTTGTTGGCAGCCAAACAACACGAGACTTTACTTTCAAAAATGTGATCCAGGTGATGTGCTGGCGGTGTGACGTGCTGAATGGTGAAAGAGGGGTGGACGGGAAGGGGATAGAGGAGAGAAGAGGGTTCATGTTTCCAGCGAAAGGCTCACCACCGGCTACACATTGCAAACATGTATACCCTGACGACACAACATGTGTGTAAGGCCCAATGCTGAACGAATATTGAAGAGCATTGGCATACGATATAGCTTTACATGAAATAGACCAACAAAGAGAACTTCCATATTGAAGGTCGATCACTCGGCTTAAAAACTCTGAACCCATAACACTGTTAAACCACGAGCTCAAGGCCTTTCCTTCTTGTACCAAATTCATGACTTCTAGCACGAAAAGAAATCTGCTGTTTTACGGACCAACGGTTTGACCCCAACAAACGCAGGGTGACGAGCATACTGTCACTTCCCACCGACGGCTCCATAACAAACGCAGGGTGACGGGCATACTGTCAGTCCCCACCGGCGGCTCCGGCTTTGGGTACCGTAACGCCCCGGCGGATGCTGCGCCGCAGCGCTGCTTCACCAGAGGGCCGGTCCCACTCTTCCACATCGACGTGGTTCACGTAAGAGCGAAAACGCCGCGGATATGTCGCGGTGCGATGCGCGAATAGTTGATACCAAAGATAACGTATGCATCTTGAAGCGGTACCACCAACCTTCTACGCATGTAGGTAGGTACTAACAATTTTTGGGGAGTGGGCCCAATTCCTTTAGCCGTGCAGTAGCGTGACATCACTAAAGAAGTTCTACAATCCTAACACCAAATTGGGTTAATACTCATTAATTACCCATTCAAAGCCCGAATCTGTTGGCAACAAGCAAACAGTGCAGAACACTGCACCGGTGACAAATATTATGCGTCGTTCATATCAATGAACATAAAAACCAGAGTTTAATGCTTGGACCCACAATTTGGTCCAGCTTACTTGGTTTACCAGAAAGTTAGCAGTCACCCTATTCTTACGACGCCTTCACGGTAAAATACAAACCCGGCCGGCATCTGACAACGTGTTCAAACAGAGGGCACGGATATTGAACGCTGATAACGAATAATCCTTCCATCTGACATCGGTACAGCGACAGAGACATCCTTGAAAAGCGCAGAAATATGACAGTCGTGATGTATTCCAGTCGCTGAATAAACACCACACCACGCCCAGCAGCCTCTCATCCATACTTAAACGGTCATTAAACCACCGGCCTCGCCACGCGAGGTATCGGTCTCGTCGACAACGTCGTTACCGTCGCCCTCATTCATTGCTAATCGTCGGTCGGGCTCGCGTAGGGGAGGAGGAGGGGGTGTCGACCCTCGCGTCAGCCGTCGTCTCCGACGCGTCCTAATGTCCCAATCGGCCCCTCCACGCCGCACAGGTGCGGAGCCACCTGTCCTCCTGGGAGGGGGCAGGGCGGCCGCCGCCCCAGGGCTCGTGTCCGCCGCTCCGGGGCTCGTGTCCGCCGCTCCGGGCTCGTGTCCGCGCACCGGGCTCGTGTCCGCCGCTCCGGGCTCGTGTCCGCCGCTCCGGGGCTCGTGTCCCCGGGCCGAGCGGAGCGGAGCGACTGGGTTCAGAGATCAGAAGTGGTGGCGGGCCAGAAACCGTCGCCACCGCAGGCGTGTTCATGTCGGTCGGCGACAGCTCTGCGATGCACCGCACGTGCGTGGGCACGAGATGTCTCGTCGTCAACGAATCAATGGTTATCATGTCAGAGCTTTCCTGCTCCCCTTTCAAAAAATCTAGGACTGCTTCCTTCTCTCTCGCGCCGCGCACAAAAACGTCTAACCTGGCAGTTACCTAGGATCGAACACGCGGCACCCAAGTCACGGGACGGCACAGCCTGAGGGCCCTGTGGGACGGCGCGCCTTCTGGGCGAAGGTTCAGGCGCCGTCGGTGGCACGCTTACCGTGAGTACCGGCGTCCCGATGCCCTTGTTCTCCTCCACCTCCGGTCGGTACTCCTCACACTGCGGAAACTTGGGCCGGTTGTTGTTCACATCTGTGGAAGGCGGAAGCGGCGGTGACAGCGGTTCCACCGGTGCATCAGTTGGTTTGATATTTGATTTTTAGGGGGATCAGGGCGAGCGGCTGATAGCATTGCGCGGTTCAATTGCGATCGTACGCGGCTGCGGTCACTTTCCCAAACGGCTTGAATTTGTGGACGTGGAACAACGTGAACTCGTTTGCACTGGCGAGGACACCACAAGATTGGAAGGCGAGTGGAGGAGCGGCCTCGCAGTTGTGAGCTAGCATAAGGACCGCACAGAAGCTTTATTCGGCTAGCCAGCGTAACGGCGCATAAACGCAACAGGAGAAGCAACATGATGAAATCATTGCTACGATTTGTTGACGGGACTCGGCACAATGAGAAATGTATGCTTTTGAGTATGAAAAACATTGCAAGATTTCCCCCTGAATTGCGTGGTGTCTTGTACTAGGCGCTCGCCCGATTCGCCGTAATGATCCAGTTCAGCTTTTAAATGAACCCTGCAGTGGTAACCTACACCACCGCAGTGGTTTGCTGCCCCTCCCCCTCCCCCAATTTCATGGTGCGCCAGTGCACTGCTGTGTGAACGCCAGTGAACGTCGGCATTACTTCCGTGACGGTGTAACTGGGGTTAGGTCGACACAAAACTATACGAGCCATGACATTCCCTTGCCTTCCACCTGACGGAGCTACATAGATACTGTCAGGACCAGGCATGGGTCGAAGCCGGGCTTCTGGCTTCCAACCCGAAGCCGACGCCAAAACACTGACATAAAGCCGAAGTCGATGCCGAAATTTGTAGCTTCAAGTCTGAAGCTGCGGAGCCGAAGCCAGTGGTTTCGCATTTTTGAAACCTGAAGCGGAATCCGAAATCAGTGGATTCGAACTCTGTGCACGTGAAACTTCAGCCGAAGCCAGAATTGGAACCTGAGATGCGAAGCCAATGTCGAACCCATCACTCTGAAATCACGAGGCTGAAAACGAAGCCGAATCTAGTGCGCGACATTGTTCAGTAAAACCAAAACTATCTTCGCGTTTTCTAGAAATGTATGGGATCAGACAGCATATTCAGGCTTTGCGGAATGACTCGGACGAGGTGTTGGCATAACAGATAAAATGTTTCAGACTGTCGTCCTCGTCTTGTGTGTCAGCATGCAGAGAATGTTTCGAACAATATACTGTTCGGTCGTCGTCAGGTACGAATGGGCCCTGAGAATGACGGCTGGTTTGGCTTTTAGCCATGTATGCGTACACACCGTAGCACCAAGTTGAGTGGGATATTGAGCTGGCAGAACAGACGACACTGACTTCTTGAAGAAAATCTTAACTGCGGTGAGGGAAAAACTGCCATGGTAAAGCTGAAATCAGCAGCGGAGGCCAGATTACATGACGCCAGAGCCGGAAGCATAGTTCAAAAATGGTTCGAAAGCAATAGACAACACCGATTCCAGTTCGTAGAAACTGTTCAACGTCGAAGCCGAAATGGCGTTCAAAATGGCATGGAACCAAAGACGAAGCCGAAGCAAGACGTGGAACAACTTAGGCAACCGAAGGTAAACCGAAAGTCATTGGACGACAACTGTGAGTTCGCGAAGTGAAGCCCAAGACCGAGGCGGCCTCTGTTCCCAAGACTGATGCGAACTAACACTTCACTTCGTTCTGGAGCAAATAAAGTTGTAATACGTTCTTACCACACTAGACCACCGCTGCCACGTCTTAGCCGTTCCTTTCGAGGCGCGAGTTACGTGTTTGTGCGCAATTAATTACTCGGGTGATGAAGCTCCACTAACTCAACCCTAAAGCACCAAGTCTAATAATAAATACGAGCGAACCTACCGCAAAACGGAGCTTCCCTGCCGATTTTACATCGGCACCATTACGAAAGCTGCGGGGACCGGTCATAAACTTCGGAGGGGGAGGCAAAGACGAGAATTCGGAGTGGGCTGAGATCCACCTCAGCAACTGGGCTCCTAAAATGGCTCATGACGGAGTGGGAGGGTTCTATGACGGAGTGGGGGGACTCACTGCCCGTCAGTCGGCGACTTCCACCCGCTGATCTCGCGGAAGTGGCCACGAGCAATTTGACCTGCTGACCAAGCGGTCGTCCAGCAGGGGACGGATCCAACACCGCACTTGGACGGGATGAGGCTTCGAATCCCAGGCCCGTTATCTGAAATCTGTAAATGGACCCACCGGAAATCCGCCTCTTCACTACCTTTGGGCCACGAACTCTCTCTCTCTCTCCTCTCCTCTCTCTCTCCTCTTCTCTCTCCTCTCTCTCTCTCTCTCTCTCCTCTCTCTCTCTCTCTCTCTCTCTCTCTCACTCTCTCTCTCTCTCTCTCTCTCTCTCTCTCTCCCCTCCTCCTCCTCTCTCTCTCTCCTCTCTCCTCCTCTCTCCTTCTCCTCCTCTCCCTCTCCCTCTTCTCCCTCTCCCTTCTCCTCTCCCTCCCCTCTCCTCCCTCTCCCTCTCCCTCTCCTCTCCCTCTCTCCTCTCCCTCCCTCTCCCTTCTCTCCCTCTCTCTCCCTCTCTCTCTCCCTCTCTATCTCCCTCTCTCTCTCCCTCTCCTCTCCTCTCTCTCTCCCTCTCCCTCTCTCTCCCTCTCTCTCTCCTCTCTCTCCCCTCTCTCTCCCTCTCTCTCCCTCTCTCCCTCTCCCTTCTCTCTCTCTCTCTTTCTCTCTCTCTTTCTCCCTCTCTTTATCTCTCGCTCTCCCTCTCGCTCCCGCTCTCCCGAATCCGCTGTCAGCGTCGGCTGGCGGTCAGGGCCGGGCACCTCCGCTCCGGAGACACATTTCGGTCCGTCAGCGCCGGGGCGCGGCACGTGAGCGCATCAAACTGCGACCGGCCCGCTGACGGGCGCCGTCCTGGCCGGATGGCCCCGGCCCGGACCCGGGGACGCGGCCCGGCGCCTGTTTACGAGCCTGCCGACACCTGGCCCCGCCGCCTAACGGCGCGTGGCAACAGGTGGTCGGCGGCGTCGGCGGCGACGGCGGCGGCGGCGCGCCCGACGCCCCCGTCAGGGCCCAGCAGCTCGGCGTCCAGCGATCCCCGTTCGGCGAGGACGCGCGTCCGAGGTCGCGCTCGTGTGATTGGGCTGGTAGTGTTTGGCGATGCCATCGGGCACCTGGGTGTCCAATCCGTCTGTTGGGAGCAATTATCACCGATACGCAATGCATGCACCGTTGGGAAACGGTTACGATACTGAAGTCTGTTTGAAAGGTTTGACCTTCCTGTGCGGGTCATCATTTCTTAAGGACGTTAATCTGTTGGATCCTACGCGCTTGGGCTTTGCCGCCTGCTTTACAAGTGCTCCAGTTTTTACCTATCTGATGATAGCCTTGCTGTCCAAAGCATTTTCAATGCCGTCCGTGGAAAATGACAAAAGGAGAAGATTTCCGGGCGGCGTTAATCCAAAAACAGCAAAGTAAAATTCTTCGCCGTCCGAAAGACGGGTGTCGATGCTCGCCATCGCACTGCCGCTGGGCAAAACGAATAATCTCACAAAGGGAGGCATAGGAGCAGGCCGCAGTCAGGCATGAGGCTCCTCCGTTCTGATCATAGGACAGAGACAGTAAAAATAGACATAACGTGAGGATAGAAATGGTGGCAGGTTGAAAGATGACAGCCAAAAGCTAAGGTGGCCGTGAGATGTCCGTCCTCAGGCCCGTGAAATCGTGCGTCCTGCGTTCGAATGCCCTGAGGCTGGTCAGGGTAGATAACTATGGCTGTTGACAACAAAGCGGCAACACGCGCGCAGCGCTGTCGAGGACATTAGCTGCTCTCAACACAGAGCGAAAAAAGCGCAACGCAATGGCAACATGAGCAGGGCGCACTCACCGTCCACAACGCCACCCCGCCCGCTCCGGACCGATGAAACCATGACCACTCGCCGCCCAGGACCGGACCGCAGCACATCATTCCGCGCCACCGCCGATCGCCCGAGAGCACCAAGTTTCGACAGGTGAGCCTTTATCTCATCCCCGATGCGCGGATGGCGATTCTTCGAGCAGAACAGGATTGCCGCGGACACGTCCCGCCGCAGATGGTCCAAGTTTCCGATCGGGATGAGCCCGGGATTTGCCGCGCGCCAGCACCGGAGCGGAGGCACTTCCAGCGCTGTCGCCGGCGTTCCCAGCGCCGTCGACGGTGGGCGGCGTGGCAGATCTGGCGGATCGTCGCGTCCGGCGGCGGCTGACACAGCTGGATCGTTCGGATCGCCCGGATCGGGCAGCTCCCAGGGCGCGGAAGCGGGGGAGCCCTCACAGGAGCACCACGACGCCAGGCGGGTCGAACATCGAACCCGGAGTCGGAGTTCAGACCAGCGCGTGTGGAGCCAAGTGATTGGCCAAACGCCACAACTAGACAGACAATCTAATAAAATAGAATATAACACAATATCGACGCCGCAAGGTTTCCATACCCCACACATCGGCTGCGTCAATACATTCCACGCATAACAGCCGCGTTGCGGGGGTTCGTGCTGTAGCAGCACCGCCACATGTCGACGCTATCGACGGACGCCGTCTGAGCAAGCGTGGTCGACCGGACATATCTGGCAGCACTCCTCTGCAGCGGTGCGGCACTGACAAAAGGGGCCAAGACGTGCTGATGGCCACAACTGCCAATCCTTCTTCCCGTGACAGTGCTGAAAGCCGTGCAGCGCCGACACAGCGCGGCGGTGATGACATCAGCGGCGACAGACCGGACGTGGCCCGCAGCCCGATGACAGTGGGGGCGGGGGGGGGGGGACACCCGCGGGACTTCAACCGCCGTCACTCGAAACGGAGATTGATGGGTGGCGAGCACGCATACCGGACGATGGCGGCCGATGGTGGTGCCGATGGCCGATGGCGGACGATGGTGCGTGACGGATGACACCCAAACGACAACGCCATATAGGTGCCGAGAGGCTGTTGTGCTCGGCTGTCGACGCTGCTCAAATGACGGTGATAATTCGCGCGAAAATGGACCTTGATGAAATGGCATATTCTTGTTTGGAACAGCAGAAATGCCAATTTTGGCTCGGCACTGAGTAAGCCGGCACACGTGCGCTCTTCACCAGCCCAGCCAAAGCCCGTCGGCGAACTGCTGATGGTCTGCCAAGCTGCCGCCATTGCGCGCAACGACCATCAAACCGTAACATCCACTTTTGAAATCCTGAGCAGTAGCTTTCGGCTCGCGACAAGCGGACGTCCCATCTCCCCAACACCTCCCCTGAGGCCTGAGGCCACTCAGCTAATCACACCCATCCAGGGGCAGATCGCCCACCAAATGGGCCACGGTCCAGCTGGCACCGTCGTGGCAGACTCGTGACCCGTGACGCGGCACGCCTCGGCCGACGTCAGCGCCCAAGCGGCATACTTCACGCCGTACCCGTGTTTGCGGGGCGAACTGAGTATGCAGGTGAATGGGCTCGTTTCACTGGCCGATGACACTCGTAAAATGTGTCATTTTCGTCGCAGCCTCATTCAACTTATCATGACGGTGCTACTGGCATGTCCATCAGGCAGGGCATGGTGTCAGGCCAATCATATCGGTCACAGGCGTTGTCTGCATGGCCGGTGTACTTCCTGCGCAGCGATGCGAAATATGCAGGACACGTCCCGGCAGCAGCGCCGTTTGGGACCTCAGGTCATTCGCTTGGGTGTACACATCCTGTGCACCTGGGTGTGAACATCTTACAAGGTAGGGTCATGAGCAGCCCGTGTTCAAAGCAGGGACCACGGCTAGACCAACGCACTGCGCTCACCATACGTTTGAAACGACCTTAATGACCCCCCAACGACCCGACGCAACGGTCGATAATCATGACGCCAAGTGATACGTGTGTGATTCTGTACGCCGTGACCTTGAATGACAGGTACGGCACAACTCGATTTACGTCACCTCGACCACCACGCGAACCGGAAAACCAGGCGTGTCCTCGCCCTCCCCCCTCCCCCAGCGAGCTCCAGCTCGATAATGGTGACCCCGGCTGACCTATGACGTGGACGTGGACGTGGGCCGTGTCGTTCTGGTCGTGGGTGTCTCTGGCGACCACCATGAACGAGTAGTCTTCCTCCGAGAACACGAACGGCCGGATCACCAGCCGGATCACGCCCGTCTGGCGGTTGATGGTGAACTGCGGGCACATGGACACGCCGTCACGGTCACGGGGTCAGGGTCAAGGTCGACGTCACGGGATCATGGTCAAGTTCAAAGTCACGGGCACGGGCACAATTCGCTTCGAGGTTGCGGGCGAGGGCAGCATCGGAACATCATGCATGAAAGACTCGGGGATGTGTCATATATATATATATTATATATATATATATATATATATATATATATACAATCGCTGAGTGCTGGAGGTGCATCGAGGTGCTGCACATTCAGCTATATTCCTGATATGCAGCTGTTGGAAGACGGGCGGAACGACTTACCCTCGCGGGACATGTCAACACGCGGCTTTGAGTTCTCAATCAATGTGGCTATGACATCCACGAAAATTTAATGTCATAAAGTTCCGTAAACGTGCAGGCAAAGGGAACAAGATACCAAAAACGGCGGTGTGGGAATGACACTGGCTGGGCGGATAACGCCTGGGTAATTATGCGCACGACATTTGAAGTTTCGTTACGGGAGCAGCTGGTGGAATGTCACGGCGTCTAGAGGCTGCCGCCCAGCGTCACGTCACGTCCAAAGCCCACAGCGTCACTTCCCAGCGCAGCGTACCTACAGTACCTCTCACTGGACGCAGGTGAAGCCAGCTCTCTCCCAGATAAGGCTTCGGCAAAACCCGATAGGCTGGTGGAATGCGATCCGATAATTTCACCGCGTTCGGCTTGCTTGCGGCTAGCCGACTGTGTTAACTGTGTTATCAAAAGCCCCTTCACCGGCTTTCCGTCAAAATAACACGCCCACCGACCACCGATCACTCCGGGACTTGAAAACCGTGGAGCGGTGACTGTCACCACACATTAATGGGATACATACGCTAGCATAGGTATTTACTTAGATAATTGCCACCCCTTCCCCAGCTGGTGGACAGCACTTTGCGCCGAACTCTGTTGTCTCCTTCCCATCATCCCCATCACCATCAGAGGACCCCGACCGACAACACTGCACCTTGCCGCTTGTGTGTGATCCCCGGTACCAGATCAGCCCTCGGCTCCCAGGGACAGAGTGTCACACCATCCCCGGTATCAGGTCAGCCTCCGGCTCTCTCACGGACAGAGTGTCGCACCATCCCCGGTACCAGATCAGCCCTCGGCTCTCCCAGGGACAGAATGTCGCACCATCCCCGGTATCAGATCAGCCTCCGGCTCTCCCAGGGACAGTGTCGCGCCATCCCCGGTATCAGATCAGCCTCCGGCTCTCCCAGGGACAGTGTCGCGCCATCCCCGGTATCAGATCAGCCCTCGGCTCTCCCAGGGACAGAATGTCGCACCATCCCCGGTATCAGATCAGCCTCCGGCTCTCCCAGGGACAGTGTCGCGCCATCCCCGGTACCAGATCAGCCCTCGGCTCTCCCAGGGACAGAATGTCGCACCATCCCCGGTATCACATCAGCCTCCGGCTCTCCCAGGGACAGAGTGTCGCACCATCCTCAGTATCAGATCAGCCTCCGGCTCTCCCACGGACAGAATGTCGCACCATCCCCGGTATCAGATCAGCCTCCGGCTCTCCCAGGGACAGAGTGTCGCACCATCCCCGGTATCAGATCAGCCTCCGGCTCTCCCAGGGACAGAGTGTCGCACCATCCCATGGCGCCCGAGAGGAGCAATCACGTGCCATTGGCCCGATGGATCTCAAGCCCCGAGAGGCAGACCGCGCCGTCAGTTCGGCAGCGCCTGGGAGGTGCCAACGACGTTCTTTGCCAGATGGATCTCACTATTGATGGACGACGAGCACTTACGCTAATACACCAAGGTGGCTCGCTAGAAATAACGCTTAGGTTCGGCAAAAATGCACACGTGCCTATGCGCTCCACTGCGAACAGCTCGGCTTCCTCTGTGGCGATTGAACGCCGCCCCTTCTCCCCTCCGCCCAACGCACTGATGCAGTTCGAAAGAACTTCTCGATCCAGCGCCTCGCTTTCCACCATTCGCTAACGCGAATGAATAAATAAGGATGTTTTTCACTAGCGCGGCTCCAACAATTCAACCGAAGTAATGAGTTTCTTCACGGCGAAGGAAAGGCAAATATGGTAAATTCCGCACACCTGGGCGCGAATGGCCTAAGCGTACCGTATGGCCCCACGTCCGTCCCATGAGGCAAACGGCTGCAATGTGGCGCCAAATGAACCTGGCTGCACAGGAGTTATGGGATGCTATAAAATGAAAAGTCCCAAAGGCAGAGTACGTTAGCCCATGCACATCGCGGTAGCGCCAGGAACGTGTCGGACGGCGCACGGAAATTTATCGCACGAAAATGTGCTTGAAATGCAATTTCACTTTTTTCGAAAGGTACTAACGTTGTATAAGCCCAAACGAAGGTAACCATGACATCTTCTTACTTGACACGGCGCCGGCGCCGCCATGTTGAACACGGTCATCCCCTCCACACTCAGCATGATCTTACCGACTTCTCTCTCCTTCGGAACAACTCTCCTTCGGTTTTCCTCCGAGAACGCATTCGTTCTCGCCCCGTCTCCGCAGCTAAAGCAGCCTGTCTGTGCAGCCGCAACTTCACTTGCCCGAATGCTTCCCTGCGGCTTGAATTACCACGCAAAGACAAGGCAACAAGAGGTGTCAGGCCCCTGCAGGCCTGATCTGAGGAATCCGACCTGTCACTCACCTAACCGCCGATGCCTTAGAAACGCAAGTGCCACTTCCTCTGGGCGACAGCGTACTGGTTACCCGTGACGCAAAGAGAAAACAGAGGGGGTTACGCCTGATGATTGATCCGGCACTCGCGTGGCATTTGTTGACCCACCATCCTGACTTCCCGTCTTTGTTCCCAATAGCGCCTACCAATCACCAATCAAGCAACTCATATCATACCCACAGAAGCCAAGGGTAAACGACTGATAAATATTCAGCATCGACGGCGCATGCGCAGTACCACCGAAAACATACAGCGAAATGTAAACAGCTAGCTTGAACAGCGAACCCTACCTCTCTACTAACCATGACATGGCTAGCACTCATTGGGAGTGTTCTTATTAGTTATCATAGTTAAAAACCAATCTCAGACCTACATTTCATGAACCCTCTCTGGATAAATCAACGACGTGTATGAGCAATATCTCAAAAGCAAGCTGGCGAGAAGTGACTAAGAGTGAGCGTGAGAAAAACCCAACACAGTGTCTTGCCCCAAGCCCGAGACAAACACCCTGGTAAAAGGAACAAATGCCGTTGGTGGTTTTGCTTCCAACAAAGATGCTTATTTTGTAATACTGGCAACTGCTCCAAATAAAGATGCTCACTCTCCAGTAGCACAGTCTATTACCGTGCCATCTGGCGGCTAGATTCCAACAAAGCTGGCCATCGCTGAATTCCTTGATAACCATTATATATATATATATATATATATATATATATATATATATATATATATATACCGGGATCCTGAAGCCAAACCAGAGATGCTACAAATGCCACTATTGGCTGTCTCCGATATATTCAAAACTTGACGGTCATATTCTAAAAATTTGCGTTTGAACACCCTAGGCAAATCGCACGTGATGATGTAGTCACCGTAAAAGGGCTGCTCCAGGTCGCCTACAGTAGCATGTACAGCGGACAACGTACAGCGTAAAGTGACGTATTGCGTGCGCCACAACTGCCCCGCAGTGGTCCATTCCAGCGTGATGAACGTCGCCTTGGGCATAAGGCTGCTCAGCATTCCGCCTGTCGTCACCGCGGGCGGCCCGTCCCTACATCCCCCCAGATACGGGTGTGGAGCGGACGTGCGCCACAGGAGAAACCAATCTAACTTACTTGGTTATATCATTCGACCCTTGGCGCCTTCTAAATCCTAGAAGAACCCTGTGCTTTTGAACTATCGCACGGAATGGTTTGCATGCACTTTTCACGACAATAAGTCTAAATTGGCTCAGATTTCTTGTCTTTGTCCCATCCATCCACAAATCTCAATCTATTTCTCTCCAGAATGGCTGCCAGCTCAGCCGTTAAGTGGGCTTCAGTACTGACATGCTCGCTCGGCCGTTTGGGCTGGGACGGACGCCACGCTCATGCATTCACTCCATCTGACCCACACATCAACGTACAACGCGAGCCAACAACTGTCCTCACACTTGTTTGCATATCACCACATAAGCCTCCAATCCAGTCATGTGGGGAAGTGCGCGCAGAACACCACCACCAATTACAGCAATACTGCAGCAAACGAAAGAACATTGTGAAGGCGTAGGGTGACGGGGACATTCAAAGCCATTCCAGCCAGTGTATTTGTACTGACAATGGTTCCAGGGTGATCATAAGCCTGGCCTTTGCGGTAAGCGTGGTGGGTGATGATCGAATTGCCAGCAGGGAGAAGGCATATTTGGCGCGGTTAAGAAATGTGCCGAGCATCTCTCACGAACATGTTGTATGGACCCCGTGGCTGAGCGACAGAGGGGCATATTCATGAGCCCAGGAGCGATAAACCACGAGTCAGCCCATTCCCATCCACCCGGACAAACTACGGTAACTGGTACCTGCAGCAGTGACAAGGCAGGTGCTGCCTCGAAGGCAGTGCTGTCTTCGCGAAATCGAAGTACATGCCAGCGGCCTATGACCTACGACCTCGCCGACGCAGCAGGGGCTCCGCCGATGACGACAGCACCTTCGACCCAATGTAAGTCGGCTAGCTTCCCCTGAGTAACGTTTTGTGAGCCTCATGCCAACGGCGGAGGAAAGCAGCTTCACACGAAGGCCGCCGCGAAGCTTTCCTTCCTGCGTGCGGCCGATCTGCATACCATCTCACAGCACGTAAAGCAACGGAGGAGGCATGATCGCTTGAGGCGCCGCCCGACCCAGCGACTCCCAGCCTCAAACAGCGTAACAAGCGGCGTTTTTTGGTCCCGAGGCATCCACACACGACAGACCGTATCATCACGGGCCGGCCTAATTGCAGCTAAACACTGTCATTCGCGCCAGAGGCGGCCCTGTCCGTCGCCCGTGGGGGCGATTTGCCCGGCGACCGGCGAGTCCATGACTCGCCCGAGGGGAGGAGCCACGAGCCCGTCCATGGTCGCCTGACGCGTGCCGTCAGATTTGAGGGCTGAGATTTGTTCGCCGGTGGAGCAGCCGTGCGATCGGGCTTCCGGAAGCGTGACTGAAACGCCGCCAATTAAGACCGGAAACCGTGTCAGAAAATCGCGTTGGCGACGTTAGCGTCGATCGAGCACTTTCGGGGAAACGTCGCAACGACTTGGTGGAAGCGAGACGCCTGTCTTCGCCGAGGAGAAATAAGCGAGGACTGCGCTTCACAGCAAGCACGCAATTTAACGCTTCAACTGAGTCACGATTATAAAGCACGTAATGGTTGAAGTCCGAGAGCACAGAAGCTCGCAGCGAAACGATGCGGCATCGCCGTATCTTTCGGTCGCAGTCGGATAAAGGTGTTGCTCGCGGTGCCGAGCCGCGCCCGCTCCAGGACGCTAACGGGGTTGTGGGGCTCCTATTGGCCAGGCTTTGCATTTTCAGATGGCGTGGGCGTAGGAGGCTAAATTGCGTCACGCGTATGTTTGAGACCTGACAGAAAGCGTAACAACCCCCTTTGCCTATAGTCGAAATCCTGTTGCTTCGCGACTTCATTAATTAGCTGAGGACAGAACGAGGCGCGTGGTTTCAAAAGCCATCAACGCAATCTTCCTGTGAGATGCAGCCAGCACCGACTACCATAGCCGAGAGGTTAATGCCTCGCAATGCATAGCAAAGTTGCCTCAGGAAATCCCCACAAGGAGGTCCGCTCAGACCAAGCTACGAACTGCGGTACAGGAACGTAGCAGTTAAACAGATGCGCCCCATCGTACGTCATCGCGATGTGAGGCTTCCATCGGGTGGCGAACCCACCATTTCATACTCCTCGACGTCCAGGCCCCGGCGTCCGGTC